ATTTTTTATCGATTATGAATATTCATGCAATACAAAGCTGGTTGCCACCTCTCATGCCCAAGATGTGAAGGCCAGATTCATACTGGCAGCATGCCCATTACCACAAATTATGTTTGTACCCCCCTGTCTTCCACCCAATTATCCTCAACAAAAAGCATGTTTAAAATATGTAAAGGAGAATGCAAGAATGGAAGTAAGTGAAAAACTATTTCACTGATTCTAAGACGCATTTCTTTCTCATTTTAATATTTCTTCTGTAATGTGTCTTTCAATTGATGGTATTTTATAATTAATTGGAACTATTTTTCTTTCTTAGTCATAAGAAGAAGTGGTGTTTTTCAATTAGTGGTATCTTGGATTCGGAATTTCTTGAGAGATTACTTTTTACAAGGTACTATTCCAGGCATGCGACGAGGGTGACAGTAAGAAACAGACACCCTCCTCTTTGGAGCTAATATTCTGATGAGGGGATATTCTGGAGGCAGATGGTTAAAAAACAAAGAACCCGGGGGCTGGCCCGTGGCTCACTCGGGAGAGTGTGGTGCTGATAACACCCCAGGTTCGGATCCCATCTAGGGATGGCCGGTTGCTCACTCGGGAGAGCATGGTGCTGACAACACCAAGTCAAGGGTTAAGATCCCCTTACCAGTCATCTTTAAAAAACAAACAAACAAACAAACAAAAACAAACAAAGAACCCTCCCCCCAAAACAAATAAACAAACAACACCTAACAGTAAGTAGGTAATATAAGCCTTGGGCAGGAAAAAAAGGATTTGAGGAACTGAAATAAGTCTTAAAATAATCTACTGCAGTGTCTGTTATAGTTGAAGAAATAGACAGAGAGATATGATCTGACTCATCTGAGGTCACAGAGCAAGATATGGACCTGCATGTCTCCTGATTCTTAGCACAATGCTCTTTCTGTGACATTAGGTTTCCATGACCTGCAGTCTGTAATCAAGATTTGGAAATCTTCCATTTCATATATGTCTAGCCTCACCTGCCCAACAAGACGTAAACTACTTGAAGGCAAGGGGTGTACCCCACACAAGAGGTAGAGCCTTACAACTACTTTAAAAGAGCTGTATGGACACACGTTATCATCTCCAGAGTATGCACGTGTGCGCAGACACACTCACGACCACGTACAATTTTGGTTCCGACTGCTCTTCCTAGTCCTGGCAGCCACATGTCCTTCCAAATCTAACCCCGGCCTAGTGACTGGGAGCATGCTTTCACTGCCCGAGAGCCTCTGCTGTTTTCCTGAGCCTCCAGGCAGGCCTGCCCTGTTGTATGCTTGGTTTCCCCTTGCCTTTTGTGTTTTCATGTATTACAATTAGACTCCAGTCCCACATGTATAGTAAGACCATACTTTGACAACAAGGTAATTACAGACAACTGGTTGACCAGAACAAAAGCCAAGTATTCCTGAGGAAACCTAAGGATCATATACATAACTGGTAGAGCACTCTGTG